CTCTTTATGGCTGGGACGCTAACTTTTCACTTCAAAGCCACTCTTGTTTTAGGTCTGGTGGTACACACCTATAATCCCAACAGTCAGAAAACTGATGCAGGAAGATCACAAGTTTGAGGCTAGCCTGGGCTACAATGAAACACCCTGTCTCAAAAGAGCAAAACAAACAAAGCTGGGTGTCGGTGGCTTACGCCTGTAATCCTAGCTACTTGGTAGGCTGAGTTCAGGAGGATTACAGCCTGGGCAAATAACTCATGAAACCCCATCTTAACCAAAACCTGGGCATGGTAGCATGCACCTGTCATCCCAAGCCACACAGGAGGCTGAGATCAGGAGAATTACAATTCCAGGCCAGTATGGACAAAAAAGTTTGAGACCCCCCATCTCAATGGGAAAAAGCTGGGCATGGTAACACATAGGAGGATGGGAGTCCAGGGCAGCCTGAGCAAAAAGTGTGATCCTAGCTCCAAAATAACCAGAGCAAAAGTGACTGGAGGCAGGGCTAGAAATGGTGGATGCCACGCTGCAAGGGTGAGGCCCAGCTCAAACTCCACTAGCTTCTTAAAGTAAAAAAATCAGTCACTTTTGAAGTTCGACAAAGAGGAAGGTAAGCATAGCATCACAGAATGGGCTCCACAAGTCTTCCAGCTGCTCTGAATTTTACAAAAGCTGCATAGGGAATGAGTGTGCCAAATTAAATCTAACAGAACTTCTGCAATGCACACTATCATGATCCACACGATGTCGCAGTCCCATGACTGTCAAGTAGACGACGGACAGTCTTAGTTGAAGTGTAACAGAGACCACACTATCACAAAGGCAGCTATCCAAATTAAAGCACTACACTTCAAGCAAGAACAAAACAAAAATGTGAAAGATAAGATTTCTGGTTTTATTTAAGGGAGGCAGAAAAGAGTTTGTGAGTTTTATTTGTAAAATAAAAAAACATAATAATGTCCAGAATAACTGTGTGCTCTATGCTACTATCAAAATGAAAACTGTTCAATTAAATCATAAAAGATTTAAATTTTATAAGTGGTTAAAATTAAAATGGAATTTAAATCTATAAAGAAAATGACTTATTTCAGGGTTAACCAAATATGGATTTGTCTACCGTTAACTTATCCAGTGTTTCCTTCTGTTTTATTTTTGACTATTTACTATTTTTCCTTTTATGGGTTTCCTTTTCTGACTATACAAACGGGTTGTGTACTGCACAAGCTGAAACTATGGTAAAGCAAATAACTCACAATTCTATCAACCAAAGGAAATTATCTTTCATGATTTGGTAAGTTACCTTCCAGATAAATTAAAATCTAATACAATTTAAAATCCCACTCTTCAGGCCTGCTATCTAGACTGAATATATCATAAAAAGTTGTCATATTATTAAATATTCCTGTAAAGCTTTTTATTGGTTATGTAATTGTATATTATATAAATATGTAACTCAAATTAAACCCACAGATTGTCCATTTCCCAATCCTAGAATTTTCTGCTTTCAGCCTTTTCTAACTGTTTGAAGTAATGAGTTTCACACTCATGCTATCCACTGAGTTGTGCTGCCGTGCACCAAGTAACTTCCCGGTCAACAACAGACCACACATATGACAGTGGTCCCTGAGAACACAAGGAACTGAATAGTTCATGAGTCTATGATGATGCTGGTGTAAAGAAACTACTGTGCTGCCAGTTGTATGTATGTGTGTATGTGTATATGTATAGATACATACAAACATATAGTATAGCAATGCAACTGTGTACAGCTCAGAATTCTTAAAAATGATAAACAATACTATTGATTTGTGTACTTACTATACTTACTTTTTAATATTATTTTAGCATGTACTCCTTCAATTTATTAAAAAAAGAGAAGCTTATCATAAAACAGAGTGCATGCTATGCTGGCAGCAGCCTCACAGATCTCATTTTGACTGTGTCTCCCAACTGCATTATTTTCTCTTAAGTTTTATGTTGTTTTGATCATCATGACCTCAGGAGCAATAGGCTACCCATATATTTGTACCACATAGTCTGGGTGTGTAGAAGGTTGTGCTATCCAGGTTTATGTAAGTGTATTCTCAGGTGTGCCTGTTTATTAAGTGACACATGAGTATACATTAACGCCTTTGCTATTTATCCTAAAACTTCACGACTCTGTGTTCCCTGGCAGCAGCCACACATTATGCTGAATATGTATACTGCAGAAAAGGTTGTAACACAATGCTTGATAAGCATTCCATACAAAATAACTAAAATAATGATTGAATACACTAATGCACACTTCCTGCATCTGTAAGAGAGTGCCTTGGATCTTAATATTTTATTATTTGATGAATTCAATTATACTCATCATTTCTACTTGTTCTATGATTTTGTGAACTTCTCACATAAGATATCTGTAATAGCCTTCATCCTTCTGATCAGAGGAAATGCCAACACTTTTTTTCTCTTCTTGTTATGGAGATAATTCTCTGAACTCTCACATCAACACTGCTGGTCTAGTTAAAGCAAATATTCTTGGGTTTAAGCAGCAACAAGAATTGTTGATGTAATATTAGTGCTTACCTCAATTTTTAATTTATTTCAACACTACAGAGAAGTAACACCACTAATTTAATATGCACTCAATTGTACTATGTTCCAGATGGCTTTCATTTATATGAAAAAGCTTTTAAGAGAAATGCTAATTAACATTGTATTTAAATAATACTTCTCGTCTATCAAATTGACAGAATCTAAAGGTTTGTTGATATACCTCACTGGAAAGGCTGTGAGGAAGCAAGCATTCATTTACTCTTAATGGTAGGGCAAAATGGTACCACTGCCATGAAGGGCAATTTGGTAGTATCTTACCAAACATACATATCGACCCTTTGATCTAGCAATTGGTCTAGGAATCTACCCGAAACATAAAGCGACTAAAACACAACAGAACATAAGCACAAAGCAGGACCCTTTGTAGCAGTAAGACTGAAAATAACCACTTAATGCTCATAAATAGAGGGTGCAGTGGATAAAGCATGACACAGCCACGCAGTGGAAAGCACGCTGCTGAAACTGGAATGGCATTATAGAGTACTGTGGAGCAGTCTCTAATGTACATTGTGATGTGAGTACAGAAAGACTGAGAAAAGTGTGTGCAATGTACTTTCACTTATCTAGGAAAGGGAAACAAATACAAAAATACATATAAATGTGCTTGCATTGGGAAGAGGGTACAGGAGGGTGAATAGGGCATAAATATTATGCACTCATGCATGAAAATGGAAAAGTGAGACGTGCCGAAACTATTCCAGGAATGGGGGGAGAGGGACAAAGGAGAATGATGGAGGGGGTGAATTCAACTATGATGTATTATAAGAACTTTTGTAAGTGTCACAATGTACCCCCAGCACGACAATAATAATTTTTAAAAAAAGAATCAGTAAAAACAAAACAAAGACAAACAGCAACGTATTTTTTTAGATTAATTACACAAGGATAAATGGGACAGTGAGAGAAGCTAGACTTAATCATAGAAAAAAATTATTTAAACTCTATGATGCTTTAGCTGACATACAAAACTTAACATACATTTCATTTCTGCATTTTGATGAGTTTGGAGTACTAATAAGTTTGTTTGAACATGTCTTGTTTAGTAGATTTGAATTTGTATTTTTCACTATCTATTAAAACAGTCTAAAACCAGACTAGCTATTGAAATGGTCTGAAACCACTTAGCAAAGAGATCTCTAGCCCTCACCCTGAGATCTTAAATCACCCCTTCATATCAAAAGACAGGCTCTTTCAGGAAATGATTGACTCCCGGCTGGGAGGAAGAATTGTAAAACATGATCCCTTAACACCTTGAAATACTATCTAGCAAGAAAATGGCTGAAGATTATTAAGGTTAAAAATTTGAGCATCAATAAATTGACTTGAACATTGCCACTGGATACATTAACAAATGGATGTACATTTTTCTTTATAGAAATAAGGCCAGCTAATAAATGATAAAGAACAATAAATGCAGGGACTGGAGATGTAGCTCAAGCAGTAAGCACTTGCCTAGCAAGCCCAAAGCCCTGAGTTCAAACCCCAGTACATAAAAAAAGTGATAAATTAGAGTAACACCATTTTGCAGTCCTTACTGAATCAGACACTTACTGCCAACCACACATTGTGTCTCCTGGGAATTGCTACAGAACAGCCTGTGTCTTCAATAAATAATTTACAATGAAAAGTCTAAAAATAAAATGAGAAACTTTTAAATGTACAGATATGTAATGATCTTTAAGGTTGCAGTGAAAAAAAGTTGTCTTTTCGATGTCAGCAAATAGTGCATAAAAGGCCATTTTAACTATAGAACCTTTTGTGTCTTTGGTTTTCTAGCATATGAACATATTACACATACAAAAGACAAACAGAATAAAATCATAAATGTAGCAATGATGGGTATAACCCTAACACTGTGGTTACATAGAGAATGTTTTTCCTTACTAGAATTACACACTGGAGTATTTGAGTAAAATACCATGAACATACCCTTAGAAATATTTAAGCAAAAAGAAAAGATAAGTAAATGTGGAAAATATTTTAACAGTTGTTAAATACAACCTTTATATGTATGAAAATGTATTGCATAATTTTATCTACTTTTCATAACAAAAAGGCAAAAAATTAAATATACTAAAAACAAAATATTATATTCTAGCCAGATACTTACTGCCTATCTCTCTGCACCGAAATGGACAAGTATCACAGACCAGCACCAAACCAAGATTTGATTACGTCAGCGAGAGCGCTGACGTAATCAGAGGAGAAAGATGAGCAGATGTAGGGGAAAGAGAAGGAATGATGAGGCCTCGGGTAGCTGTCAGCTGAGATAATAACTTCCACCCTTAGCATCCATCTATCCACCAGAAACTTGAAGTATATCTTAAAATTTACTTCAAGAAATTAAGACAATAGCCAGTTGCATGGATGGGACTTTCTAACCCCAAAGCCTTCCTTCTGAGATAACACAGGTGTCCATTAGTAAGCAGCATCTTGGCTCTACCAACGGCACTGAAGCACACTTACTTTTTGCTTGCTTCACAGACATCTGTAATATTGGAGAAAAGATGGTGCCTCTCGGTTTTAGTCATTGTATCGCTCAGTTCTTTAGAATCCTTAAACATTCGTATCAAGATTTCCAAGCTGAGTAAATATGAATGTTCAGAGGATATGACTTCAAAGATTGCCTGGCAAGAATGAAAAATAAATGTATTATTAATTATTTTAATTGCATAACTAAATACAGCTCTCATTGTTCTGCTATAAGAATAACAAAGTATCTTGAAAAGTACAAAAAGATAAGCACTCAGAAAAACGCATCACTAAACTCCTGTCATTATAAGACATATACACCCAATCTCTAGAAACTGTTATCAACAGTTTAAATGTATTAAAAAGAAAAGACAGACTCTGGATGCCTGGCATTGCATCCTGAGGTCATGTCTTTGCCACGGGGTAGAATCAATGGAAGGAAGTAGGGCATGTCATAAAATCTCAGTGTGACATTAATTAACCTTTGGGGTCATCTGCTCCAGCCCAGCTTTCAAAGCCTGCTGCTTCAGGGACAGTAAGAATTTATGATCATCAGTTTGGATTTAGAAAAAAATTTCTCACAAATACATTCTTTCTTTCCCCTCTTGTGTGTGTGTCTTTCTCTCCTGGTGTTTTAATCCAACTAATCTGCAGTCAGTAACAGCATATTTTCTGGCATGATTGTACCTACCCTCAAAAGGTACTTATCAGCCACAGGAATTCTTCTTTATATACACATACAATTGAAAATAATTGTCTGTTCAACAAGTCACCCACTCTACTCTTGTTATTGTCTCAAGAAGGAGCAAAGAACCCTCTGCAGAAACTCTTGGTGTCAGGCATACAGTAGTTTTCTTGATAAGTGCAAATGACAAAAAGCCAACCCACATCTGTAGATAGACACCAATGCCCTACATAAGGAATTCATCTCATTCCTTAACAAAATCAAATTCAGACCCTCTAACAACACAGTGAAAATTCCTCCTGGCAGTAGGGCAGGGATGAGGAACATCCTAGGAGGCTTGACAGTGCTTCCTGCAGAGCTCCCAGGTAACCAGGCCTCTATCACCCTGACCTCTAGAGCTCCTCACCTCCAACCCCCTGCCTCAGAGAGCAGAGGGGATGGAGGCCCTGTGGAAAAAGAGCAGGCACAGAGAGATGGACACTCAGCTGCTTATGGCTGGGCCATCTCCTTTTAGCATCCATAAGGTTTTAGACACTTAGGTCTTAAATGTGCTGGTCTAGCTCAGCTGTGCTCCAGGGAATTTAGTGACGTGTCTGAAGAACAGAGGAAGAACATTAAGAGTGTCAACCTATAACTGTGTCTCCTGAGCCAACTTAAAAATTATTACACATGTTTTGACCAAGAACACTGAAAAAAAAACCAATTAAGTCAAAATAAATTTCAGAAACAAAAATTTTAAATTCCCACATCATACCCCACAGCTCATGGACGCAGAGACGCTCTCAAGCAGTCCCAGGTTGTTATCAGTTGTATTTAAAATGCTGTGCATTTGCTTAGTGTTTCCCTGCCCTGCATTTGATGAAAATCTGCCTCCCTAAAAGTAAATGGTACCCCAAAAGCAAGGAAAAAGTGAATGTGCTTACTTGAAGTGAAAAAGTGAAATCTGAGATTTGTTGAAAGGTGGATGTCTTTAGTGGAAGTTGGACAGTGTTGTGAGAAAAATGAATCAAGCATCTGCAGGATAGCACTGAGCTCTGTGCATCCTGAGTGTGTGCAGTTTTTCTTCCACAGTGGTCTTCTTAGAACCATGTACCCAAGGATACCAAGTATATAGTGTAGTTCTATTCAATCAGCACAATTAACCCCAAGAAATATAAGGCAGCTAGATAAAATTCTCCTTTTCTGATCAAAAATAATGGATTTCAGGTAGATGATGGATATGGTGTCTTGAAATGACTTCAGTATTTTCAACAACAATGGCTTTTCTAATCAAATCCCAAATGCAAATATCACATGCAAAGGTGAGTAGGTGTAGCTCCAGTACAGTAAGTTTAATGTAGCAACTGCAAAAATAACCGGAAATACAGACATCAACTACTTAGAAGCAAACCAGGCTACACCTGCTAAGAATCGCTTTACAGAAATAGCTAGGAATTGTTAGATTTGAAGCTGCCATTACTCTTTGTATCATTAATCTGAATAAATACTTTCAGAATATAATAGAAATAGGTAAGGTTCAAACATATCAGATTTAAAAGAATAGAAATGTTGAAATGGAATCAGGACTGTAGAGAAGTTCTTGAATTTTTCCACAAGAAGAGAGAAACACTGTTTATGTCACAATGTTAAACAGTAAGGAAAACTATGTACTATCTACCGTCCACATTAGGAAAACAGATACAAATTTTAAAAGGTGGTATTCTTAGGGAGGAATATTACACACTGGTTGGAAGGAATGATCTAGATGAATATGTACTTGACATGGATAAATCTCAAAAACAATGTTGAATTTTAAAGTAACCAAAAATATAGACAGAATCCTATCACTTGCATATATTTAGTGGAAATATGTACATGTGTGTATATATAATAAATGATTTTAAAACACAGATTGAGAGGACATACAACAATTCATAGTTATAGTTGTCTCTGGGGAGAAGAGTAAGGGAATGTAACTGAGGAGGAAAAAGCAGGACGTCTATTTATCAACAATCTTATTTTCTTTATAAAATATGAAAAGCAATTTAAAATGTAACACATGTGTAATCTCAGTGCTGGGTACAATGAAGTTCTGTACTATAATGTTCTGATTTTTAAACATAAAAAATGTGATTGTACTACACCCTTGTATTTTTGCTTTCTTCCAAGCCAATGAAATATGTCAAAGGCATCATACGGTCCTCATGGAATGAATACTTGAGGAAAGAGATTTGAGAAAGTCACAATATTAGCATTTTGTATTATAATAAAATACTTATAAAATTTATAAAATTTTATTTATAAAATTAAATAAAATACTAATATTTAATATTAGTATTTAACCGTTTTCTTAAGCAGAATTAATTTAAACTTCCAGTTGTAAGCCCGTCATCAATCTTTTTGTTTTACTAGGTAAGTTTTGCATTTTGACATACTTTTAGATTTAAAGGAAACTTGCAGATAGAGCTCAGAATTCTATGTGTGCACAGAACTACACCCAGCTGCCCCTATGTCAGTACATTACATAATCATGGCACATTTATGTACAGAATAACATATGCACCTTATTTAGATTTCACCAGTTCCAGCAATAGCCAGGACCTGATGCCTGCCTGCTTCATTTTTCAACACATTTCTTCTGGTTCAAATACATAGACGGGGTGCTTTGTGAATTATATGCACATGATATTGAGATATTTGATTTTCTCCTTTTCTGGGGACTAACAATGTACTCAGCCTTCTTTAACAATGACCACTTGCTGTGTTTGTAAGAAAAAAACAAACACATTTCCAAAGGACAGCACTGAGTACACAGAAGTTGAAAGCACAAAGCACAGACCACCGCAACCCCTGCCCTGGTGCACACACTCAGAGCTCTAGAGCAGCAGTTAGGGAGTGGGATCATACCTCTTGTCTCTTTCTTTCCTCCTGGCTTACCATCTGGGACAACCCATTTCTTTTCACCTGAAAGAGAAAAGCAAAATACAGCTGAACTCACTGACACTGACAACTTCCTTTTTTTATGTGGAACCTAACTCTATGTTCTTAAAAAGGAATTAAAAGACATTATAGAAAATGTTAAACTCAGCACACCTTAATTTTTGGTTCTCAAAGCCTTCAAATAATATTTAATCATATTAATAAAAATAACACGGTTCAACATTAAAGAACTGAAAAGTATCTAGAACAAAATCCTACCAGGATGAGTTTTTTTGTTCTGGTCTTAGTTCTGGCTATCTCGAAATACTTATCAAGTTAATCTCCCAAATCATAAATGTAGATATCTAATATTAAAGAAAAAAAACCCCGATGTCTTTGAGAGTTTCTTGTACAGGATCTCAAATGTGCCATTTTAACACCACCTTCCACAAAGACGCCAAAAGAATGCCAGTGCTCTTCAGAAAACACCAACCAAACAGCCCCAGCCTCACCAAATGTCAGGAGCCTTTCATTAGATTTAAACTTGATGGATAAGGATGTCGATCGGATATCCTTTCAGAAGCAACAGTAACCTACAGGCTCATCAGCATCAGCACTACACCTGGAGTAGGCGTGCAGCACTGGGAGCCATGTCACTGAAACGTCCATCTCGCCCACCACATTTTTATTCAGGAGCATGACAATCCAGTTCCAATCTAAGAGTGGAGGCTACCACGAACCTCAAGGAGGAGTGGCCTGGTATTTTCTCTCACACACCTACCAGGGAGACTGACTTATGAAAGACATCTGCGTTTTTCAGCCAAACATTAAATTATCAAAAGGTTAACAAGCAAAGCACCAACCAATTATAATCCTACACCTGACAGGAAGAAGAACAGCAAGAAGACTGCCCTCCCTCATGTTAGAAATCGAGAGCAATAAAAAACAGCAAAAGCCTTTATGTTTTTACTATCATACTTCCTAAAAAATTTTTAGAAACATGTTCCTCTGAACTCATGTTTAAACTGACATCTGAAATTTTTCATCGCAAGTTTAAAGAATTAATGAGTTATATTTTCCTGATGTTAAATCTAAATATTTAAAAATGTGTTACTTTACTGTTTTTAATGTAGCCAATGCAACTATAACGATTTGCTATCTACTATCAGCCATTTAAAAATAAATAAGCTTTCCTGAACAGTTGGAAATTTCATGTTATTCTCTCTCCTTGAAATCCCATTCCTACATCAGCTTCTCCCCCTTACTTCCCCATGGACTCCAGTGTGTTAGGGTCTATTAGTAGTCACCCTAGCATATTGAGATGCGAGTGATATTTTTTAAATTTAACTTTCTAAAATCTCCTGTGATCACTGAGCTCTAAATGTCAAGAGTCAAGAGACTCTCTTGGACAGTATAATCACTACAAATACCATTAATAATCTATGAGCAAAGCAACACAATTACTAACAATTTTAACTCATGACGCATTAAAAGTAAAATTTTATTCAGAATGGAGGGAGCTCCCACTGAGTTAGGTGTTCCCAGTGCCTCAATGGAAGGAGACTTCTCTGAAACCAGTATTCCAAACTGACCCCTTTCATTCAGGGTCCCAGCAATCTCCCACCTCGAAAGATTTGAGCTGGATAAGAGAAATGTCTTTCAAGAATGACAAAAGGGCAACTGTGAAACAGAAGGTGAGAAAGACAACCTGTCGTCACACCTCAGTCTAGAAAGAATACCCAAAAGTTGAGGGTCTGGAAAATGGAAGCCTTGGCACTACTCCTCCCCATCCTTGTAAAGTCTTCATGAACCCCCAATGGCGTGATGCATATCCTACTGTGAAGACCAGAGGCACACAATTCTGTCTCTTTGTGCTGTTTTGGAATTGAAGACAATCACATATTATTGTCTTTAATCTGTTTTTTGGAAAAATTAGAAAGCAGTAGGGTAGAAAGGGTCCTAAATCAACAGTAAATTCAACATTTATCAAACACACACTATGTGTCAGGAAATGTGTCAGACATTTTATACCTCTTCCTACTAAATCTTCATAAAAACGCTGAGCAGTTACTACTGCTCACAGATGAGAACAACTGAGGTTTAGGGATCGAGAGCACACAGCTATTAAGAGCAAGACAGGATCTGGTTTATGCGTGATCAACTGCAGGGCTGTGCATTTAATCATACTGGTTAGGGACCCCTGCTCTCCATGAAAGGCATTTCTAGAGTTGGGCTACCATCACTAAGACCCATGTAAGGGTACAGAGTCTTCATGTGTGGAGTGTGTGTGTTGGGTCTACGTATAACATGAAATGTTCTTAGTCTTATCCACCATCCTGACCCTAGGTCAACATGTCAGCAAGAACTCATGAGTAAAAAAGACTTCTGTGCATGTTTTACCAAAGGGGAAGACTGGTCAGAAGAATGGAACCCTTCAGAGTTCCCTTTGGTTAACCTCAAGCAGGAATTTCACAGGATTTCCTGCCTGACGCACAGTCCTGGCGGATGGATGTGCAGGCACCATGCCCACAATCTCTGCAGGTGAGGTCACCAGCAAGACTTTCCACACTACTGGCTTCTCCTTCCAAATGGAACTCAGATCTGAAAATCTACAGGGGAGAGGACAAAATACCTGGGCTTAACGACCCACATGATTGACAGCTAGTCTACTGAGAGATTAAAAGTACTTCATCCGATCAAGAAGGGGGAAAATTCACAGCCAAAGCAGTTGCTCTTTTGAGGGGTAAGAGAAGGTAGTTTTGAAAAAGGTAAAGTATTATTAGTGCACAGAATTATCATCTTTTACCAATACCAATACAACAAATGGACAAATGTTCTTTAGTCAAAAAACATGCATAAAAAGAAATAGCAGCCCACACAACTGTGACAGAAACAAAAAAGACTCCAGAAAGCATTCTTGAATTAGGATTTAGGAAACTGAATTGGAGCACATTCAGGGGGCCTGAAAGATTGCAAAGGAAGACTTATTACAAAGTAGTCCCTTGTGGCTAGCTGCCAGGCCACTGCTCTGGGGCCTGTCCTCCCACTGCCTGTCCTCTTGCATCAGCTGCTCTATACCCTGCACAAGACAAGTACCCAGGTTCTTTCCTAAGAGGAAGAGGAATCATTTTGTCCATCTGAGGCCCCCTTCCACATTCTAAATTAATAGACTTAAGAGCAGGAATCTGGAGGTACAAGGTCATGTGAGGGTCAGAAGATTTCAAAGAACAGGGAATGCAGAGACATAACCAAGGAGAAAAAGAGGGTGATCTGCAGAAGGGCCCTCTGGAAGAGTGGCAGAAGGCAGAGAGAGTCAGGGGAGGAGGAAACTACAGGAACAAACTGTGAAGAAGAGACAGATAAGAAGGAAGGAAAAAGAAAAAGAATGAAGGAAAGAAAGAACTTGTACAAAGCTTTTAATAACAAACACCTGTTGTACTTTTTAAAATAAATATCTGGAAATTTTCTAACTGAAAAACAGTGATAGTTTCAGCAAACTTAAGTAAAAAAATCACTTAAAGGACTCTGTTTTGTCTTCCAGGTGGATATCACAGCACCAGCTTTACTACTGGTATTGTCGTCTGGACAATGGAACTTAGACCTGTGAACAAATAGTTTCATATTCCTTCTTCCCCTGAGCTGAACTTTGCCTCTTGTTGTAGACTGAACTACTGGTCTCTCAGACAAGTTCAGAGCCTGCCAGGCAAGCTTCCCATGTGGGAAACTCCTCTGTCATTTTTTAAACGTACATTTCATATTTGTAGCTCCAGCTGGGTACAATGGGAACACAGACAGCCAAAACATCCTGACTTGATCTTTCTTACTCCTTGCTGATTAAATGCGTTTTAAAGTGCCTGCAACAAGCAGAATCAGAAAAGTAGTTGAAGAAAGCAGTAAGAACCGGGTTCTGTTTGGAGTTGTTCATTTCATACAATCTAACCAATGCATAGCACTTCTCAAATCCGGCCATGGCAGACTCTACACAAAGCTGAGCACAGGTCAATCAATACCTTCAACACTTTACATGAATAAAAATTAATCTGAATAAAACAACAGAATGTGCAAGACTATGGTTCTATCCTGCTAAAAACATGAAGATATATTTGTGGCTTGTTAAGATAGGGAATGTTAACTAATGTTAAACAGTTTTATTCATAGTTATAAATTATTTAATCACTGCTGTAATTGATACTAAAATTCTTCAGTTATGATCTTTATAACCAGAAATGAATATTTGCCTAAACTTAATAAACACTGTAAGACACTTCTAAAAATATGATATTGGCTAGTTATTCCCAAAATATAGTTTGGACCTAAAAGTATAGACCTAAAAGATAAGTATCTAAAATTTATGCCAATTTTTTTCTTGATACCTTGTGCTGTGATCTGAATATCTGTGTTCCTTCTAAATTCATATGCTACAAGTCTAACCTCCAAGGTATGGAATTAGGGGGTGGTGGTTAGGTCATGAACGTGGAGCTTTAATGAATGGGATTAGTGCCTTTATAAAATAGGCCCCAGAAAAACCTCTCGCTCCTCCCACCATGTAAAAACCAAGCAGGCGGGAACTGTCTACAGTTCAGAAAGAAGTCCAAATCTGTCTTGATCTGGACTCTAGAACTGTGTGGAAGAAATTCAGTTTATGGTATTTTGTTGTAGCAGCCTGAACCAAGGTACCTTGCAAGTCTAAGCTTAGCTTCTCAGATGACTATCCTAGGAAGGAATGGACAGCATTCACCAGCAATCTCATTACTGCACTCACTGGTTACACTAGGTATCTTTACCCTGCAGAGAACTGTGTCAGGAAATCCACAGATTGTGCTCAATATTCTTTGATCCTTAACAGGAATACATTATGAACCAAGTCCTCTAAGCCCCACATGTATTGCCATTTATATGTGCCATTTATATGTGAAGAGAGCTGAGAGTAATGGCGCCAGTCTCGGCTAATCAGATCATCTTTGCTATGGGGCAATCAGGGCTATGTGCTCAGGTCCCCTGAGACCGGATGCTCTTTCTAGCCAATATGTATGTGAATTACTTCT